TGCCTTCTGTTAAATCATTCTCTATAACGTGGCATAATTCTGTAATCAGTAGGACTCTTTTTAAATGTCCTGTATGATGCCTATTTGCCAGCCGTTGGATACCGTACCTACTTGTCTATCATTACATCAAGTTGAGCCTGATGTAAGGCAAACTAAGAATGCATTTTCGTATTTTCGGAGTGACAAGTGATTGTTTCTACTTTCCCTCGTTCATTCTTTGTTTTCTTTCTTTTTTGTTCACGCCCGCGTCTGCTTCCTTGCTCGTTTCTTTTCCGCTGCTCTCAGATCTATTATCGACCTCTGTAACGTGGGAACGGTCGTCTAATTAGCTTCCTCCACGCCGGACCTCCCTTTGTGCGCCCGCTAACGGACAATGCTGCCAACCAACAGCGGAAATGTGCCATATGTATTTCTGTGTGCGAGTGACTACCGAGCGAGCTTCCATCCCGGACAGCGCAGCCATCAATCAGAGAGATGGCGTACCCTGCTGCCGGGGTCCGCAAAAAGTAGGTTACGTAATTTTGCTATTAATATTGATACACGTGCAAGCAAAGCAAAGAAGCTCTTATGGCGGCCACCCGGCTTGGCAGTCTCTAACGCAGGACCACCTTAGATCGTAAATATATTCAGTCGATCATGAGCTATAAGAGACAGCCACTGCACGTGCGCACGTGCAGAAACACTCTGAAGGCGACACAGACGTGCATTTAACGGTGATTACCTAATCATAAGCGTAGGAACCATGGGTGCAAGGGTGCAGCTGCACCCACAATATTTATCCAGTGGGTGCAGACAATGTATTCTGCACCCACAATAATCTAAACCAAAAACCCCTTTTTCATCAACACTACTTCCCATGCAGCACGGCAAATTCAGGATATGTTGCCTACTATCCATCTTTCGAAGCATTTGCTACTGTGATCAGTGATGGTCTTCAAAACTTACATTTGTGCTGAAAAAAGGGAAATGGAGCATGTGATTGAACACATACCGAACCGATGACCCACTGTCAAAAATTTTAGCCCGATATCTTCGAAAATGGCTAAGTTGGCCGCTTTTACTTTTTGCGGTAGTCAATATTGACAATATTAGCCCTCGAATGTGTGCAGCGTTTTCCAGCTTCTAATGTGTAGGGGGAGGGGGAGGGGGTCGGTCGGACCCCCTGCCGTTCGGCCCCTGATCGAGCTAGAGCTTCGCGGAAAAAACGAGGGTGTTGCCCGTGACGAGAGGAAGCCGATGATACCCAATTTTAAGGTCCTACTTCATTGGTTGACCTTCCAGGTCAGGTCAATATTCCAAAAGTCGGGAAAATCGGGACCTGCTAGAACTGCGTAAAGTGAAGCTGTTATCGGGTTTTTCGGGGGTGCTGATCACAAATGTCTGATGTTAGTTTTGATCACAGATGATTTCTTCATGCATTTAGGCCAGATCGGGTCAGGTCAGGTCAGGTCAACATTAGGCGTCCTACCGGCTATCCATAGTAGGTGTCAACTACCACTGACGGCGTCGTAGCATGTCACGAAAGCACTAAAACTACTTCGTAAACGTTCAAATGGATGCTAAATTCGAAATCAGCCCTATAAACTACCCTAGAAACATGTAAAACTCGAAAAAGTGAACCGAGGTCATCAAAGGTCAATGACCTGACCTGACCTTCAGGTTATCTTCACACCCACCGTGATGCATGGGAAGAACATCATTTCACATGTTTGGACGTCTACAATCACAAAAAGACTGGAAACGCGCGGATAATGTGAGCTGACATACGCCAAATCGCGATTCCCGCCGAACATGGTCTCGAGAATCAGGTCACAGGTCAAGGGTCTTTTGGGTCAGGGTCATGAAATTTTTAGAGTAGGTGTAAAACTGATCAACTCGAGGGTTCTAAAGTTTCGTCGCGATCGGCCGCTTTTTGCGCGAGTTATTTGCGAACAACCATGGGCGGGGGGGTTCATCCGACCCTCCTACACATGCGAGGGTCAATGCTTTCAAATGCACTTATCGGTTGGTACCTTTTCGACATGGTACACCCTCAAAGCTCGTAACGAGCCTTCGCTTGGGTGTCGCCCCCCCCCCCCGCTTCACCGGCCATGGCTGGAATTCTGCATCCATGCACCCACAATGTTCCAGCCGTTCCTATACGCCCATGGATACCTAGGCCAAATGTTAGCGCAATCAGCCTGATCGTTGCGGAGCTATTGTATGGAAGTGGAGCAACTCGACACACTTGAGCTGGCAGGTACCAGTTCCGCCCTCAACGCCCCCAACGAAAGGAAGCACGTGTATTAGGTCAAATGGTATTGTTGAGCTTTTCGAAACTTCAGTCAATTTCGACTGTTCTCTTTTCCTGGGACCCGAACCGTTGGACCTAAAGATTGAATTTGATAACATATCAAATTAGCAAAAGACTAAAGAGCGTTAAAAGAGCTATGAGATGCGTTGTTGCGATACAGTAGCTCTATTGATTCACAAGGTATGCGTTAAACTGTCCCAAAATTGTCCTTATCGGGAAAATTTGACCTTTGATGGCCTTGAATAGACTCAGTAATTGCGTGAGTGATAAATAACATTTTTTAGTACTCGCTAAGTTGATGGATCGCTTTTTCCGCATTGAGCTCTCAGAGTATTTTCTTTGTTAAAGATGATCAGGCGTAACCATTTTCCGTTATTACGAGCGAGCGAGCGGAGCTGGCGAGCGAGTTCATACTGAATTTAAGGGAAAATCATGAGTATGAGCGGCTGGCCAGCCGGCCGGCCGTGGGGACGCTCTTCAAAAGCTAATATCTTAGGAACGGGACATCCGATTGACAAGCGGTCTTCTTTACTGAATGTCACTTGGACGTAAAATTTCTGTGGTGTGATGGCCACCATGCGTTCTTGCCAACCACCGCACGTGGCGCGTGGTAAAGTTGGACATTTTTTAAGAACCCCCAAAATTGCAACCTCAATAACGGCACAATGGTTGGGCCGATTGAATTGAAACTCGGTACACAGTTAGGCCTCCATCAGATAATTCATCTGCATGTGTTAAGGTTGGGGTGCTACAGCACGTGCGCACGTGCAGGGGGCGCTCCCAGATCTCGAGAACGGCTGGGCCGATTGCGCTCAAATTTGGTACCCGGCTGGGGACCAGTTAGTAGGGTGCCGTGCAAAAGTCAGTTTGGACCCCGCTTGCACGTGCGCACGTGCAGTATGCCGCTTCCAGATCTCAGGAACGGCTGGGCCGATTGCGTTCAAATTTGGCACACCACTAGCGACCGGTTAGAAGGGCGATTTGCACAAGCCCGTTGGAAGTACCCTCTCGCCCTTGCGCACGTGCAGGGCTCACTATCTCGCTCGCTCGTTCTTCGCCCAAAAGGCGTTTTACTGGTATTGAAAAGACTTCGCTTCGCTCGCTGCGCTCGCTCGCTCGTGATTAACGTTCCCAAAACCAGAGCACTGGCTGGCCGGGACACCACCCCGGCTGGGGCTACTATTGCTATTTGCTTATTAAAAAAACTGATTTTCGTTGTTTTCGTTGTTTTCGTTGAAAAGTTTTCGTTGATGAAACACATCATACATTAAAAACTGTCCCCTCTCTTGCACTGCTGATTTTCCTCACCTGTTTAGAGATCTGCTCAGCTCCGTTTGGCAGGTAATGTCGATGAATGAGGTTTGGTGCCAGCAGCTGTCTGAAAATAGAAATGGCGAAAATGAGTTCAAACTTCAAAGAAAATTGCGTTGAAGTAACTCTGCTGCTATACCATTAATGCATTCATTAGCATTCAATTGGGCACTTGAAAACTTCATTCTTTATCACACGGAGATACATAAAAGTTGAGAAATTTCTCGAATCTTTCCAAGATGGTGCCATTTATATCTGACAGGCTCGCTGAACACCTTCGATACAAGCGAAATAAATGCGGTTTCTAACATCTTATAGTTAAAGAAATACTTACGAATTGAGTTGCAGGTCGATTTGAAACTGATGGGTGAATGCTTTTATCATGAGTGACGTCTTTTCCACATGTTTTGTTGACACCTGCAAAACGGCATTGGTAAGACCGGAGAATGCTGAGTTCTACACATGCATGTTCTATTGCTATCATACCAACAACCATACACAACTATATAAGTCCAATAAATAAGTAATTACAAAGCCATAAAAATATTTTGAAATGAAAAACAGAAGTGGTGAATGAGAGTTAAGACAAGCTGATGCACGGACTTCTTTACATGCAGAGAAGTCTGTGGCTGCTGAGAAATAAGAAGTGAAATGAACACTCGCACTTTCTTTCCGAAGTCCGATCAGGCTCATTTTGTGTTTACGTACTCCTTGGTATATGCCTTAGATACCCTGATGGTACAGAACCTTTACTTCGAATTTTTCAGGTCAAGGCCAGGTCATCCTAGGTCACGAAAATTGTATATTATGTATCGGTCACGTGACGCATGTTTTATGGTCCATTTTACACATAGATTTCGAAAACAATGTCGTCTGTGTCATTTGAGGCCATTTTTAGCTGAATTTACTGAAGATCAGGTCACTTTGAAGTCAGAAAAGGTCAAATTTTGAAAATGAAATTTTCAACAAAAATGTGCCTGTCAGATGCAGTTTGAGCTCAGAAACACGACGGGGCCATTTATAGTGATGTAAGACGTCAAAGACGTACTAAAAAAGGATTTTGAAAAATATATAATTGTAAAATTTTGACTATAATGCAAATAATTTGGCTATGTTTGAAGATATTTGGCTAAAGTTTGCTAGAGTACTTCACTTTAACCCGCGAGTTGCTGGGGGGGGGGGCGTTAAACGCCCCCACTTTTTTCGCCGGGCCATAGCATAGAAACGGCGCGCCGCAGGCGCGCCAAATTTTGGGTACCTGTAGGGAATTGATTGAACTTTATTGTGACAACGTTTCAAAAAAAATCAGTCGGAAAATTTTTGAGATATCGAGGTTTTAGTGACGTCATGATTTCTGAGTTTTAGACCAAAAACGGCATATGTTAAAAAATCATATAAAATCACAGAATAGACATATAGACATGCCGTAAACGCCATTAGACTGCCAATACCATGGAGAATCAAATGGCTATCTTTGATTATTGATTATCGTTCCGCATTTTCCAAAATCTTGAACTGAATCTTGGCAATTTCTCGTGACTACTTCACGACCATGATGCATGAATTTTTTGAATTGAACTTTTTTAGCCAAACACGTACACATATGATAAATTGAATGTCACCGTCGTGTTCTACGCCCCAAATTACCCATAAAACATGTGTCACAGGCTGCGAATATCAGTTTTTATTTTCGGGGATATGTGCCTGCCCGGTTGACCTGACCTTGACCCTGACCTATGCTTGACTGACCCCTGCATGGAGCTGACACTCTTGTAGACCTTATATGATGGATTGTGCACCGTTTTGACAGAGTTTATGACGAGAGGCGCCCATTGCGAAGTCCTGAAGTCCATGCTACTGAAAGCCCGATTTCAGGTGTTTGACCTGACCTTGACCTGACCTGTGACCTCAAAATTCAACTTTAAAGTACTCATCTGAAGCGTCTCGTCGCGTTCTTTCGTTTGCCGCCTCGTGCGTTTCGCTGCGCCTATTGGTTCTCGAGTTATCGGCTGGGGGCGTTTAACGCCCCCCCCCCCTAGCAAACGTTATGTGGCGAAATAGGGTAGGGTGGGGTAATTTGAACATGTGGGGCAATTTGAACATAGTGTGAATAACACAAAATTACGGAAAATCCATAAGTGGCATGACAATAAGACCAATGAGAGAAATTATCGTAACCAAAAGGGCTATCATATGAACGGGGTTTAAAGTTTCAGGGAATGTAGATGTTGACGCACAGTGTAAAAAATCAATTTCGCAAGGAAAAACGCCTAACAACACTTCATTGCAACTTCATTGCAGCGCAAAATCTTGCATTGCTAGCGCCTAATACGCAACGGCTTTTGTTGTACAATGACCTAATCAGTGCCTTCAATCCAAGAAATTTGCTTTTGAATCCTGTTTTTAAAAATGGCAAAATAACTTCTAGCGTGGGGTAATTTGAACATAGTGTGACAATTTCAATGAAGACAGGGATAGCTCCGAAAAACAACGCTCCCAGTTTTTTTGCCAATATTTTCGACCCAAAGCAGAAGCAGATAAGTGATGCCAGTTTTAGGAAATTTACGTCTAATATCCGTCTAATGTCCGGCATTTTCGTTGATTTTCCGTCCAAAAAATGTTAAAATCAATTATTTGTCCAAATATGTCCGAAAATTATGCAGCTATCAACACTCAAACCGTCATTTATATTGCTTATCATGTAATTTTACCAGCCGAAAGGTGTTCATTATATTGAGAGCTTAACAAGCTTTCCATTCGCCAATCAATGCTACGCACGATTACTTGATGAAAATGCGTAAGTGTGGCAGGCTATCGTCCAATGTTGTCCAGACTACTATACCTTTGTGCAATCAATTCCGAATTGGACAATATAAAGAATCGAAACTCCGAATGTCCAGGTTCCGATTGGCACCACTATAACAGATGAAGTAAGGTTTGGTAGGGTTTTTATCGAACGGAGATGATAGACGTTCTGTTCATTGAAGAGAGGCGAATTCTGTCAACTGACCGGTGTGCAGCGTGCAGATATTGATACTCTGCAACTGTTATTTTTGTTGTTGTGCTGCTTTTTCAAATGAAGCTATGTTTAGAATTGCTCTGCCTATTCGTTTATGGGTCAAACAACATCGGTGCTGGCGAGACTATCGTTTTTATGGCAGATAAAGGCAGTATGTTCAAATTACCGCACGGTGGGGCAATTTGAACACACCGTGACTTGGTGGAGAAGTGATGCTATGCTTTTCAATGTATGCTCGGCTCGTCCAAAAATGAGGCTTGCATGGTGAAAGCAAGTGACACATGCGCTACTGAAACAGTTTTTCTTCATCCAGGGTTGAGCTGGAATTTGGTACTATTGGTCTCAAGATAAGGGTCCAGGCGGCCTGTAGGTTTGATGCGGTGAATACCCTCACCCTCGCCACAGCTGGAGTGGGGGTAGGGGAGGAGCTGCGCTCGGCCCGAGTCTGACAGCGAGGTCGCTCGCCTCAGTGTAGTGTCCAGCGGCGCAGTCGGAATCAGGCGGAATTATGCCGGCGGCGGTAACCGGTCGAAGGGCCTGGCTCAGTCGCGTCTCGAGACGAGTTACCGAGCAGGGTGTCAGCGATAGATGGGAGGGGGTGTGGTCAGGGCGCTGTTTGATCACCAAATCAGCATGATGTCAGTTTGCTGGCGTTTCTCATCTTCTCATTGGTCATTGATGAACCACACGTGGTGCGTGCGATTGACCAATGAGAGACTAAGAGACGCCTGTAACTGGCTTCCATATATTGGAAAACCGACAGAAGGCTGAAAACACGACAGTGCATGGGGCGCACTAGCTTTGAAGGTCACTCCGCAAAAGCATAACTTTCCATGGTTGAGGGTGACGGGTGTTACCTACCCCACACTTCTTGCGATTGCTCTCAACAAGGCAGCCTGAAAGCTGAAAAATAGCAGACCTGACTTGATTCAAGCCGATTTTCTGGTGACACCAACGAGCCAACGACCAATTACATTTTCAATTCTTGTCGAGTCACTGACCTATGACGTCATAAAAGACTTCACTCGGTCCTAAAATATTGCGGCTTGGCAACTTCGCCATTGCTAGGTCAAATTCTGCAGATAAATAAAATTCACGGAACTTCAAATTCTTCCGAGACCTTGCAGCTTTTATGTATCGTAATTTTCTATAAAGTTAACGTAAAGATAGGTCAATGACGTGACCTCACCATCGTAATTCAATAAGGGAAATATTGGCCGTTTTCACGACGGAACTTTCGCAGAGGAACTTATTTGATACCTAAAAAGTACCTACCCTTAGAGGCCTTAACATCCCTCAAACTGAAATATTTTATGTTCAAAATAATTTTAGAAGTTTAAATCTGGGCATTTTTTGCCCTCAAATCACTTATTTATTTACAAACACAGCAATTTTTGGTTCTAGTAGCCCACCTTTCGACTATGAGGTATTAAATCAGCGTGGCAACTTGCTCCCTCTTTAACCCTGTTTACATAGCATTTAGACATTTCCCTAGCTGGCTTAGAGATATCACAAAACTGGCCAGTGACCTTTTGCAACTACACAAGTGACTGTATTCAATGCTACGAAGAGCACTTTCTCGGAATTCAGGCATAATACATCAATAAATTGCAATAAATAGGTTATTTTCGGCTCGAAAAAAGGGTACTATTTCATGCGTACAAAGACCATTTGCAAGCACCATATCTGCTGCCATATCTCCCTGCACCCCTTCGTAAACACTTTGCCATATTAGCTAAATCAAGCTATATAAATCACAATATATGCAGATATTTTTTACAAAAACAAAATATAAAGCGATATATAATATAAACAAAAGTAAGATATAAAAGGCTCTAAAGAAAAACATCTTAGAAAACAAGTATTTGGCCCACCACTAATATCGAGTACTGCTGTCTCTCGGCAGACAGCTCTGCACTCTGATTGGCGGAAATCAAGGCTAACTAGTGCTGGGCAACGAAGTTATGACCAGCATGCTTAGGAACGATGATGACGTAGTTGGGGGTGGTAGATTTAGCGTGAAGACCCACCAACAGATGATTTCCTGTCTTATTACTATTGGCTAAAATAGCGAAGTTGGGTTTATCAACAACAACATTAAGGGTTCTTTTCTGAAAATATAAGAGCATTCATCAGACTTTTCTAAAAACATCAAAATATGACTTCTAAGTGGATCACCTGAGCCGCCACAAAATAGCTTGAACGCCGTGACTCCCTAATGACGTCATTTTCTGATTAGCAAATCAGCGCCGAGTAAGGCTTACTCTGATTGGTCAGATAAATATCGAGAGTTTTATGTTGAGGGGACTGGAGTGCGCCTTTGGTTAGGAATTTTTTACAGCGGTGGTAAAATCCTCTGGCTTATGCTCTGGCTTGTCTAGCAGTGCCATCTATAATA